CCCACGTTTAGAGTCGTCTGCAGATCTCCTTCAGCCACGGCTGCAGTAACCTTCATGTCCTCGGACCTTTCTGCACCGGTTCCGTCTCTGCTGCTGGACATGTTCCGTCTGCTTTTATTTTGACGGGGCGATGGCGGTGCTGTAAAAACAAGTGGTGTCCTGACCAATCACAGGCTCTGGGCCCCGTGACTGGACAGGACCTGTTGCAGAACCTTTGAGACCCGGTGTACACCAGCTGACACGGGCAGCTCTGGCCCACTATCAGGCTTTAAGATGTTCTGAAGGTCCCGTCAGGTTCTGGTCCAGACAACAGCAGAAGGGGTTGCTGCTGCTTGTGGTTGTTTCAGGTATCGGGCTGAAAACCCAGAACCGGTGCCTCTAGTCCGTAGAACCTGTAGCCATCTCTGACCGTTGGGTTTTGGTTCCAGATGAGATCCAGAGGTTCCTGGAGGAGGTGAAGTCTCTGGGCTACAAGGACAAGCCGCCGTACGAGAAGCTGCGCTCCATCCTGCAGAGCGGGCTGAAGTCCATCCAGGCCAGAGACGATGGCCAGCTGAACTTCACGGCTGCGTCGGTTAAGGTCAGCACACACCGGTACCGGGTCGGGTCGGGTCCCAGTGGGTTTGTACTGAAGTGGTGGTGTTTGTCTCCCAGAGGACGGCCGAGGACAGTGGCGCCGACGGAAGTCCTAAACGCAAAAAGAGACCGACCAAGAAGACTGGTGAGTGGGCTTAACCTGACCCTGTAGACACCAGATCAGAACCAGAACCAGCCGGTCCAGTTTAAGGCTTTACCCACCCGTTTGAGTCCAGAACTTTCCCCTGCAGAAGTCAACGGAGTGAAGAAGAGTCCCAGAGCTGCTCCGAGGTCCCGGAAGGCTCCTGGTTCTGGAAAAGCAGGAGGGCCCGGATCCAGACTGGTGGACACGGCTTCACAGACGACACCTGGACTCGCTCAGAGGTCCCGAGGAAGAAAGAAGCTCAGCTCTTGAACCCGGGTCAGAACCTCCGTATCCGGCTTTGATGAAACTCCAGTTTTTTACTGAATAATCTGAAATGTTTGATTGTAATCTGGAATAAAGACAACGTCACATACTCTGATTCTCTTTATTTACCTGCTGATCCGGCCCGACCCGTAGAACCGACAGGAAACAGAACCCTGGTCAATGGTCACCTGAGTTGGGTCAAGGGGCTGAAGGTACTGGTTCCGGCTCTGGCCTTAAGGCCCAGTAGCTGTTGTTCTAAGGTCTCCAACGTACGGACCGACAGCCTAGAATCAATGCTAGAACTCACCTGGGCCAGGTAAGTGAAGGAAGTGATGTCATCGCTGTTTACTACACCAGTGGTGTCCGACCCCAGGGCCACCGTCCAGCAGGTTCTGGACCTACGGGTTCGGGTTGTGAACGGTGGAGGTTTTACCACCGTTTGTTACAAATGAGTAAAAACATTTCGTCCTCACGGGCTCCCGTAGAAGGAATGGCCTCGCCCAGACCAACGCCCGGTTCCTGCGGTCTTCAGAGTGCACTTGGAGGAAGCGTGCAGTGAGGCTTCGAGTGCGTGCTCCACACGTGTGAAAATAATGGGTCGCGTTTCCGTCCTCGACCACAAGGCATGCTGGGATGCTGGCCGCTCTCACTTTAAAAGTTGTTAATAAAGTTTTTTGTAACAATTATTTGAAATAAATTAACATTAATTTATGCTTTGTCTAAAAGTTTCAGAGCATCATCTAATTGTCTTGAAATGAACTACTTTAATTAGAAAATATATATTTTCAGAAAAGGAACTTGAGCCTTTTCTCCTGCAGCAATGCATTGTGGGTAATACTCTTCACCCAAGTCCGCATCGATGCCAACTTGGGTGAAGAGTGGATCAAGGGTGCAAAAGCGGTGTGATCAACTTCTGCACTTGAGAATCAAGATGCCCTATGCACTCACAGCCCTGGTCAGGTGTGTGTGCGTGTGTGTGGCTGCTTATACTGAGCCAGGATTCTCTGGAGGTTTCTTCCTGTTAAAAGGGAGTTTTCCTCTCCACTGTCGCTGCATGCTTGCTTAGTATGAGGATTGCTGTAAAGACTCTGACACTAGTCAGTGACTCGATGCGACCTGCTGGGTTCCTTATCTAGGAAACTTTTTACTGATTGGCTTAATGACCCGACCTGTACTGGTCACTGTGTGAAGGTCCTTGACACGACTGGTCCTGATTTGGTGCTTTATAAATAAACTTGGGTGGACGTGTGAGTATTGGGATTGGGCCATTGCTGGGTTTTCAATGCTGGGTGGAAAAAATCAATTCCCCTCTGGGATTAAAGTATTTTTGAATTAGAATTTTACGTGACATTGCATCTACGTCACCAAATGCAGATGGGGTGTGGAAGTAGCCGGCGCTGCACAGAAGCCTGTTTTCTTTGGTGACTGGGCGTTAAAATGCTGAAACTCTAGGTGGTCTACAGGTGTTTCAATCACTCTAATTGGGACAAAGACAAACGTTTCTCCTTTCCTGAATGTAGCGCACCACAAAGGACTTCATTATAAAACAAAACGTACTGAAAGGACGCAGAAATGGATCTGTAATCCACAGTTTACAGCAGGAGCTGAGATGACCGATGTTGGAGTTTACAGAGATCGCCTACCAGCTACTGAGTGTTTTATTAAAGGGTAAGTCACCCCCTACCAGAGTATTACTCAGTGGCGGCAGGCCACTAGAGGGCGATAGGGCACCGCCCCTCCAGTTTTCCCCAGTGTTTTTAATTTTTATTTAAAAAAGTAAATAAATAAAATTAACAATAATCACATATTCTAAGTTAATTGCGTGTTTTGTAACAAAAACAAATCATACATATATATCTATATCATTGGTGAGAAGCTCCCTGCCGAGCAGTGGAGGCGACAGAAAGATCGCCCAAACAGCAGTGAAGCAGCCAGCCAATTGCTGACAAGAAAATCAAACGCATAGGAATGGGAATGCATCCAATCAGCGTCATTGATTCGGAAGCCCGAAGGGCGATAGAGCCACCGCCCAAGGCTGTTTGTTGGTGTTCGGGTTGAGCTCGACTCGAGCAAGGTATTTGGTGACGCAGATGCAGTGATGGACGTGAGTGGGCCTACAACCAGCATGGATACCGGATCTCAACAGCCACTGAATTCAGTTCGGTCTCTTCTCCAGTATCCGTTCGAGAGGAGAACTATGGTGGAAAAACTTAATGTCAAAGAGCTTGGACCAGATCAGCCCGACGTAAAGATAAGCCAGCAGGACAAGGAGAGAGGTAAACTGTACACACGAGGCTTCTCCCAAAATTGGTACACCAGGAAGGCTTGGCTAGCTGGATGCAATCACGCTAATGCGTTATTTTGCTTTCCGTGTTTGTTATTCAAAACGGCTGGGACAGATAAGGCATGGATGAGTCAGGAGTTACAGACCTGAAACATTTTTCTGAGAAGGTGAAGAAACACGAGTCATCCCGGGCACACATGGACAACAACACGGTGAAGCTAGCCATGCTAGGCAGAGCTAACGTTGCCATGCAGCTCGATGAGGGAAACGGAAGAAACGGAGGACGTTTGGCCAGGGAGAACAACTGCAGCTGGGTGCAGAGGTAAGCTATACATTACATTTCTGTAAACAAGACAATCAGAATCAGAAATTCTTGGTTGTCCCACAAACCGGGACATTTGTTTAATAACATGTTTAATGTGCAATAACTGTAAAAACTAATTTCAACACACATACTTATACATATTTAATCATGTAAATGTGTATTTCATGTAAATTTGTACATACATCAATCTGATTCCATTTTACTTGTTACACTTCTGCTGCAGCAAACAAATTTCCCAGTTTTTGGGACAATAAAACATTTCTGATTCTCAATCAGATGTTTTTACCTCAAATGTAAAAACATCTGATTGAGAATCAGAAATGTTTTATTGTCCCAAAAACTGGGAAATATGACATTTGTAAGAGGATACTGATGACATTATTTCCTGTGAAAGTGTTTCCTATGTACTTATCTGTTGTTTTTTATTTATCATATGACAGGTTTGTGACACCATCCTGAGCCATGCAAAAGAGTCATTCTCTTTTACCAAGCACCTCGTTGCTGCCACTCAGCTACAAAGTGACTTGTTTGTGCAACACACAGCGCAGTTCCCAGATGCAGCACTGGCGACCGCTGTAGAGGCCTACCCCATGCTGAACAGAGCTATCCCTCATCTATGAGAACCATGAGTTCAGGGCTTGCACTGGTGCACTGACTCTCTTCCAGTTTTTCATGGAGAACAATCTTCAAAGCACGTTCACAGAGACTGTCACTCTTAAAGATTCTTGTCACCACACCCATGACCACAGCCGAATCAGAGAGGTGCTTTTCTACTTTAAAGAGGATTAAGACTTTCCTGAGGAACACCATGACACAGGATGGGCTGAATGCTCTCCATGGAAAAAAAGCTTGTCACAAACATTCCTGACTTCAATAAAAAGCTCATCGAGAGCTTTGCCCCTCAGAAGGACAGAAGGGCAAAATTTCTGTACAAATGAGGTATCACACACACACACACACACACACACACACACACACACACACACACACACACACACACACACACACACACACACACACACACACAAATGCATCCACTTGATCTTTGTATAAAGTTGACCGTGGCACAACACTCCAGAAAGATTTAACAGTGTAAATTTCTGGCATTTTGTCTAAGTAGTGTTTACTACCATTACTGTAACAGTGACCTGCTCATAATTTTTCATGTTCACTCAAATGTTGAAATTAAACAAAATGTTTTTGTTACTTGCCTCTTGCATTGCCTATTTACCATTTATGGTCGTGTTATTTTATGTGCAATTTAATGCAGTATTTTTCAACCTTGGTCTGCAAGGCAGCGTGCCAATAGTCACACGTGGATTAATCAGTTTGTCCAATGATGTAAGACAGGAAATAAAAGAGCTGTGCTTAATTCAGGAAATAGTGAAGTTGTGCACAAAGCTCAG